GAGAGAAGTCAAAGAGGAGACGGAGTGAGAGTGAATTTGTGTTTGCGTACGTATGACGACAGTTGATGCAGAGGAGGGTCACTTTGTCAGCAGTTGTGGAAAAACTCTGAGACACCAGCAGTTAAGGGGGGAAAAAATTTGGTTTCTCTGTCTTTTTCGACAAAACTGATAGCGCTGAATGTCACTGCCGGTTGCCAGTTGTTTACGTCAATTCGTAACATCGCCAGGGGGAGAATGAGAAAAGTTACACTTGGTTACTATGCTGCATTTTTACTGTTCTGATAACAATCCAATAATGAAAAGACCAAATGTAAACGTCTTCCAATATGCATTCGATAGTAACTCAATCACTCAAATTACTTTCTGAAGATGCAGCTAGACCAAATGTAAATGCACCTGGTTGTTCGGGTAACATTTGTAAACTTTTCCCCCAAACCACACATAATAGGGCAATCACAGATAAGACATGGATGAAGTAAGCACAACTCTAACATTAGTTTCAATATGGGGTTAAGAGAGTGAACAAAATTCCGCTGTTAGCATTAGCGGCATCGCCGAATGCTAATATGTACATATATCATGGGAACAGGGGATCAAATTAATATCAGTATTGCAGAGACAAATTTATATGGCCAAGTGTAAATGAGATATGCATATGCAATCGGACTGCAATCTTATTCCAAATATGTTTGTGTTTTTAATCTTTCATTAAAATGTTGTAACTCATTTCACCTCTGAAACGTTTTTTTTTTGTGTGTGTCTCTATGCACCTTTCAAACCCTCCCTTACAACCACCTGTCAAAGGCCAGTTTTCATGATCTAATCCATTCCTAGTGGATAAAGTTGGGTCCAATCCTACATTTTAATTCTCATTAAATATGCTGTATTCTCAGAAAAAAAAGGTACAGTACCGTTTCAAAAGGTCCACATTTAAACATTATTTACCTCTAAAGGGTGCATTTTAGTACCTTAAAGGTACATAATTGTACCTACAATGTACATATTAGTACCTAAATGGTACATAATGTGGATAGACTTACACTCTGAAAGCTTTAAACACATCTAGTTGTATTGATATTAATAACTGACATTACTAATTGACTATATATGTCTTAATTTTGAGCTCTAACAAAAACTACCTGTTCATCTACCATGGTTCATCTATAGTACCATTACCATCTATCATCTATGGCTACAGTACTTAGTACTTAGACACTAGCAGCAGTTTCTGAAAGATATTTAGTTGATAAGCCATTTTATTTGACACAAATTGTGTGGGTTTGTCGAAATTAATTAAAATCGCTTCTACATTACGTTGAAAACTTTGATTAAACAAGCCCCGTAACCTAGACAGGAAGGCACGGTTTGCCTAAACGCTGCCAGAATGACACCTGTGAGCAGATTCGTCTGAGCAGCAAAGCCTTGAGGAGGGGAGCAAGGCCTGCTGACAGCTGTCTGGAGACACGAGGGCTTTGTTTACCCAGTTGTGAATGTGCATTGCCACTCGAGTGGGTGTACACAGGGATAAAGCAGTGATTGAGTACAACCAGACATTACAGGAGGAAGAGAGACGCACAGTCAGTAATCTGTACTCCTGTCAGGCACAGCACTGCGAAAGACACAAACTTTCTACTAAAATCCAATCAAAGCAGGATTACAGGTGTCCTTGCTGTGACGATAAACATGAGAGTGGAAATCAATTTTTATATTATCATTCTAGACTCAAATTTTCATAAAAAGTGGTTTACAACTCTCTGTAAAGCACTAAATTTGGTCATTCAGTAGGTCTATAATCGCACCAACTGACCTCTTTGCATCCACACAGAAGATAAAAACTGTGTACGAATATGTGAGGACCATAAATAGAAAGCTCTTTACAAGAAACACAATCTTTCCATGCTGCCAAAACAATGCCGGGGAGCAGAAGCCTTCCAGCACAACGGAAGAGACGCGCTTGACCGTGAGTGGTTTCAAAGAGAGAGAGATGATGGGAAGGGTAGAATGGAGAATGAACAATAAAGTGAGAGAGAGAAAGAGAGAGAGAGAGAGAGAGAGAGAGAGACGGGTGCTCTTAAGGACTTGCCTTCAGCTTTCAATTATTGATGGATTCAAAATGCCACCTACTGAATACACCGACTGCATTTACATAAATGAGAATACTCCAGTGTTAGTTGGAATTTGGCCCTATTTTGATTATGCATTCATAATCCAACTGCAATAATCCCATTTAGCAACATTCATATTACAAGAAATCTGAATAAAAGATCCAAAATATGCCTGCATAAATCAGAATTTTGGGTCATGTAAACACCTTATTCCACAGCATTTATTTGAAATGAATATTTTGTTAAATTATAAATGTCTTTACTGTCACTTTTGATCAATTTATAATAATTATAATTATTAGTAAATTACCCTGCAAAATAAATAAAATAAAAATGTATTGTTAAAAATGGAAAAAAAGAAAAGCCAGATTTGCATAGAGGATGCATAAACTTCTTTTCAGAATAAAGATGGACCTTAATTGTAAATATCAGGCAAAACATTAAGTCAAATGTAGAGTGTGAAATTGCAGTGAGAAAAAAGCGATCACTCGCCGTTGAGTGGCACAGTTGTTAATTGGCTGTTACATGTTCCACATGCCGGCGGTGCAGACGGCGGGGGACGCTGTGCTGTTTAACACAGACAGGATCGATGAAGAGAGCAGATGAGATTGAAGAATTAAGTGGCAGTGAGGAGTGAGATGACTGGGCTGGTTGAGAGGGAGGGCCGGTCATACAGGTCCATCCCCGGGGAGGAAAACCATGTCTCTGCAGTCATGCGTGTCCTTCCCCTCCCCCTTTACAAAGTAACAGGGGGTATTTTATATATATATATCAAATCATATTAATAAAATTGCTAATACTACATATTAATAGAATAATGCTAATAATACATATACATACATACAAACATATACACATATATATATATATATATAATCATATTAATATAATTGCTAATAATAATAATAATCTATCTATCTACACTACTGTTCAAAAGTTTGGGGTTGGTAAGATTGGGGTTGAATATGTTTTTGAAAGAATTCTCTTATGTTCACAAAGCCATAATATTTATTTGATCAAAAATGTAGTAAAACAGTAATATTGTGAAATATTATTACAATTTAAAATAGCTGTTTTCAAGTTGAATGGTTGAGAGGGAGGGCCGGTCATACAGGTCCATCCCCGGGGAGGAAAACCATGTCTCTGCAGTCATGCGTGTCCTTCCCCTCCCCCTTTACTGGAGCGCTTGGATCTTCCTCATGTGGGACTATCCCATTCACTTTATGATGGCTGGTTGCCTCACACAGCACTGCACAACACCGCCATCTACTGGCAGAGGCAGAACGGCATTCTCTCCGGCTCAAAGGTGTGGCCAATGCTCTCCAGGCACAGAGCGGCTGGAAAACCTTCTAAGCATCTTCATCTTTAGGCATCTCACACTCACTATGTAAAGGCTGTTCCTAACAGCAAGCAGGAAAATTTATGATGTTTGGATTTGCTTTTAAAATTTTGGATTTCATTTTGAAAAAAATTCAATGGCAGCATCTCCATGCATCTTTTGCTGATATGGAAAGCCCAGAATGCCTTGTGACAAGCTCATCTGATGGTGGCTGGAGTCGAGGGAAATGCTATGTATAAGTATATTTGATTGATTATTGGTTGTTCAGCAACAAGCTAATATCAGACTCAGATGCAATCAACGGTGAGCATCAGTTTGTTGCGTGCTTCCCATGACATGCAGTATTCAATCACAGGTTCTTAATGTGATTTCATTACTTTCTCTTTTTATCAATTTACTTAATGGAGACCAAAAGACAAGATTATTCACCCAAATCAATAAAATTAATTTTGTGACACAAATACTTCAGCCTCTAAATTCTAAAGACAGGTTGTTTGCGACATGGGTCTGTACTTTTGCAATACGTACAGAAGCCCATTTTTGCTACATAAGGAAAATGCTTTGGTAATTCATAATTATTTTATGTGCATTTTCATAAAAAGCCATAATTATATAAAACAAAAAAATATGAGATACTAAGTCAAAATTACAAGATAATTGACAAAAAGTAGAAATTATGACGTCAATTATGACAAAAATGTGTAAAATGGAAATGTAAGGGAAAGTAAAAATTAAGAGATGCTAAGAAAGTTTGAAATTGTTATATAATGCAATTATTACACAAAAAAAATCAACCTCAGAAATCAACCTATATTTTGTATTTTGACTTTTCGGCATGATTATTAGATAAAAAAACATCAATGGAAATTATTAAATTATGAGATAAAGTCAAAATTATTAAATAAAAACATACTAATTCATAATTATGATATACATTTTGGCATTATGAATTAAAAATCATGACTTAGTATGTCACTTTGACCTTTTTTATCTCTTAATTTGGACTTTTTATTTCATGATTATGACTGTTTTCGTAGTATATTTTCGACATTTTATGCCATAATTATGATTTACCAAAGCATTTTTTTTTTATATTGAAGAAATGTTTAAATAACTGAAAACAGTTTTGCCTACAGACAGTCGTGCAAATATATCTACTGTGACGGCTAAATTTCTACCGTTGTGCAGTATGTTCAGTCACGACGTCGGCCCTTGTGCTCATGTTTGGGATCAGTAATTCTGCATGTTGCCTAATGGCACGTTTACACTGACAGCAACTAAATCGCTGGAGGTCGGCATCTCGTCGGACAGTTGTTTGCTAATGGTCGTTTCTATGCGATTGCTGTCTTAAACTTTAACACAGGCGGCTCATGACAGCTGCCCTGTCTGCACTCCCATTGGTGGTTGCTGTATCATCTCTGTGTGCATTTGCATAAAGTTGAACTCAGCCCAACTTTCTGTTTGATGTTTATGACTCAGCAGCTCTTATTGAAAACGGTCATTGCTTATGTAGACAGCAAGCAGCTTTATGTGTGAGTTTGTTTGTATGAGCGTACCTGAGCAGACCAGTTCCTGCTCCATCACCCCACAGCCCAGCACCTCCAACCAGTCTCCCTGGAAGCGCACCTCCATCTCAAAGGAGGGATGTGTGAAAGGGAAGTAGCAGTCCACCCAGCGGATCTCCAAATCTGCAAGACAGAAACAAGCAGATGGAGGAGAGCTGGACAGAGGAAGTGAGGAAAAACAAGTGCGAACATCACAGGATTCCTACCTTCCCCAAAAAGGTGTCGCATGAGGCGCGTGAGAGCCTGTTTCAGATCGAACTCCACAAGTTTGACAGCCTCCAGCGTGTGCGTCTCCTGTTTCTGAGGCGTGCGGCGGCCACCGCTCTCAAACAAAGACAGCTCTTCACCATTCTCCACTCGAGCAAACAGCTATTAGAGAGAGAAATGTTGAAAACAAATGTGTATATTTAATTGCATTCAGAAAGATTACGGTAAGATTTCATCATGACTTCTTTGACACTTGTCCTTGAACAGCCTCTTCATTACAGTCTGGATGCTTTAAATGAACAGCTTTTTCTACAAAGTAGGGAGTTCTGGGAGGTACAGTATAAACTATAGAGGACTGTTTGAAAGGTGAAGTGTTGCTGCTTAAATACTTTCTTCTATCTAAGAAAAATAATTATTCAAATCAACAACACAACAACTTACTTAATTACTCAATTCACTTAATTTAATTCAAGTCTTAAAACTTAAGGTTTTTGAAACCATCCAACGGTTATTTTTTATTTGTATTTTTCTGGAAAATGGACAAAAAAAAAAAAAGCAGTAGTAGTGGTAATAGTATTTATTACCATTATTAATATTAACACATTAACCCTCATAATGTATTAAAAAAAAATCTGCATACTATTTTCGCATTCATTATTCAAGAATCATTATTTTGTAAAACAGTTATAACTTTATTGTTATGCTTTAAGCAGAATATATCTTATTAGAAAAGTATCATTAATGAGAAAATATGAAAAAAAGAATGTTACCTTGTTGTTACCATATTATCACTGCATTTAGCCCCTTTTTTATTCATTAAAAAAACTGAGGAATTTTTTGAAATTTCAAATTACAAATGATGTGATGTGATGAGAACATATCACTGCATAAAATTCATATCATATAATCATACAGTATGAGAATTATCCGTATTTATCAGAATTATCAGTATTAACCCCATTGGAATGAATGAAATTTAATTAAATTCCTTTGTCTTTATAACTCATGATTTCTCAAAAACACTCCAAATTTATGAAACCAACATTTGTATTTCTAACAAAACAACATCAAAACAACACAAACATTACTCTGAAAAGTTATCAAACAAAATACATTAATTTTACGTTCAGATGGAAAAAATTATTAAATTTGCATGCTGCAATGGTTCGTCAACAGAAAAAAAATTCAGTCTCAAAAGTGTATATATTTATTTATTTACAGTTTATATAAGTTTTATATACGTTTTTTTTTTTAACACAAAACGTTTTTTTTTAAAATATAACTTAATAGATAAGCATTTTTGACACATAATTGTACTCCATTCATACATCTACACCTGGGGAAAAAATTTAAAAATAAACAAATGTTTCATTTTTAAAAAATGTAAAAAATATAAATAAATTAAAAATATAAATTATGTTTATTCTGTGGTTCTTAAAGCATTTGCAAAGTTTCATTCCCTTACTAAAAACTATGCGTTTTTTAGAAATGTATCTTTTCCAGGTCAAAACAGACCCAAATGTGTTATAAGGGTTATTATATTAATATATTCATATTTATTATTATTATTTTATTTGTATTAGTTATTTTATTATTAGTTAAGTCCCGCATGTCACCACGAAAGAAAAACACAAATGCAGCATTTATTTGATCAAAAACAGTAAAATAAATAAATGAATGATAATAATAGTAATAATAATGTGAAATATTGCAATTTAAAAAACCTGTTTTCTTATAAAATATTTTAAAATATCATTTATTTCTGTAAAGCTGAATTTTCAGCATCATTACTCCAGTCTTCAGTGTCAAATAATCCTTCAGCGCCGGGCTTTTGTCGTGCAGTGTGAGAGTTAGATTACTGGGATGTCAGATGAGCTCATGCACAAGGGACTTAACCTAAGAAACCTCTGGTGAGATGTGCGGTGCCTGTTCTAACTTGTGACATAGGAAGAGAGGCCCCGTGAGAGAGCTGATGGAAATAGCAGGTGAGAGCTTCATGCCCTCACAAATGCAGACAGAGAAACAGACGCTCACATGGCTTTGCTGCCAGCACACGACACATTAAAGCGGGATCTGGTATCCATCACACAGCGGGCTCAATCCGGGGTGTCATAATACACTGTGGACGTGATTTATGGGGAGTGCAGTGTAATTGAATTAAGGGTGGTTCAATCATCATCGCCCCCCCCTTTGATTTCCTCATTTTGTCTAGTTTTCTCTGTTCCTGACAATCTCTGTCCGTTTTTATTGTTTGTAGCCTCTAAATGAAGTATTGTGGTGGTACAGTGAAGGTTTCAGATGTAATATCATAGTATTGGGTGATTACCTTAATCATGTACCATAGTATTTACATGGTACAGTGCTACTGCCATTGCACATCTACAAAATGTCATAACATTAACCCTAATGCCAAGACCCTTTAGCATGTGCCATTGCTGCACCATGGTATTCCTCATGGTGCAACTATGGCAAATGCTATTCCAATGATATATATTCAAAATAAAACATATGGCACCTTAAAGTAATTTACAAAAAAACCATGGTACACTTATGGTACATTCAAAAAACAAGCCATTCCTGTGGTCTAAAACATGTGGTCCAAATTCTAAAACATGGCATTACCATGATATTTCAGGGTACTTAAAGAATACCACGGTGCAACTACAGCACATGCTATTCCCATGATATATATTCAAAACAAAACATGGTAATATCACGGTACTTCAAAGTAATTAAAAGGAAGCCAAGGTACATCTATGGTACGTTCTAAAACCGTGCAATTCCTGTGGTTCAAAACATGTGGACCAAGCCATAAATCATGGCTATTACCATGGTATTTCATGGTGCTTTAAAGAATACCATGGTACAACTATAGCATATGCAACTCACTTAATATACATTAAAAATATGGTAATATGGTACTTTAAAATAATTTGAAGAAAACCATAGTACATCTTCAAAAAAAACATGCAATTCCAGCCATCCAAACATGTGGTTCTAAAGCATGGTATTTCAGGGTACAAACAGGGTAAGAATACCATGGTACAACTATGGCACATGCTATTCCCATGATATATATTCAATACAAAACATGGTATTAATATAATACCATGGTACATTTATGGAACATTCAAAAATGTGCAATTCCTGTGGTCCAAAACATGTGATCTAAGTCCTAAAACATGGTATTAAAGAACACCATGGTGCAACTATGGCACATGGTATTCCCGTGATATATAAAACACAGTAATATCATGGTACTTTGAAGTAATTCAAAGAAAACCATGGTAAATATATGGTACACATTCAAAGAAAATTATGCAATTCCACTGGTCCAAAACATGTGGTCCTAAAGCATGGCATTACCATGGTATTTCTGGGTACTTTAAATAATACCATAGTACAGCTATGGCTCATGCTATTTTCATAATATTTATTCAAAATAAAATATGGTAATATTATGGTACTTTGAAGTCATTCAAAGAAACCCATGGTATATCTTTAAAAAATGTGCAATTCCAGTCATCCAAAACATGTGGTCCTAAAACATAGTATTACCATGGTGTTTCAGGGTACTTTAAACAATACCATTGTGCAATTTATGATATATGTTAAAAGAATCATTCTATTCCCATGTTATATATCCAAATATATGGCATTACCATAATATTCCTAGAAATTTCAAAGAATAGCACAATGTCACTTACAAAAATGTATTGTGACATCCATGGTAATACCATGATACATGAATTTCAGTACCATGGTATATTTCAAAATACACTGTACCATGGTACTTTCATGTTTTTTTTTCTTCTTTCGGACACATACCATGGTAGTGTCGTGATATTCTTGGAAGTACATTAAAGTACATACACTTGGTATACAACATGGTATTACCATGACAGACCAAGGTACTTCACAGAATACCATGGTACAACTATGATGCATGTTGACAGAGCCATGATATTACCTTAATTTACGCATAAAACATTGTATTATTATGGTATTTTATGGTAATTTACTGTAAATAATGGTAAGACTGGCACTTTTAATGAACAAAAAAAACATGTCCAAAAAACATGGCACAACCACAGATTCTCTTACAAAAAAAAAAGTACCATGGTACTATCATGTTTTTTTGGACATATGGTAGTATCATGATATTCCTGGAAGTACACTGCAGTACATACACTTAAAAACAACAACATGGTATCACCATGGTAGACCTAGATATTTCATAGTATACCATGGTACAAGTATAGTGCATGTTGAAAGAACCTTGTCTTACCATGGTATTCAAAGATAATTTACTTCAAATAATGGTAAGACTGGTATGTTTAATAAAGAAACTTGTGGGGAAAAAATCATGGTAGTACCAATCATTTGTGTAACTTTTGCGACTGTCCATTCCAGTTGCCCTATTTAGGAGGTTCTGTAATATGTGGGCATCTTTCTTTTCCTTTCCTTGTTTGGCCTCTCTATTAAGTCACATGCTTTCATCCTCATCCATCCCCACTCGTTCTTTCTCCCTCCCTCATCCCTCTCTCCTTCTCTCAGAGAGCATTTAGCGGGCTGCAGTTTTGGCTCAGGTGCGGGATGTTCTGAGGACACGGGAGAGCAGGGCTGTATTTATCCCAGACTAACAGTTTTTATTTCTCTCGGCCCAGGGCAAATATTTGCTTTGGCCAAGCAATATTTTATGAGGCTAAAACAAAAGACAGACTCATTTTTTTCCTCCCATCTCATCACTCTTTTTCTCTGGATCCAGTGAGTGGCACAAAATAGAGACAATGTCACTCTGAGAGACTTATGCACTCTCAGGTACATGCATACTGTCAAGACTAAAAGCATTAAGAGAAGCTGCAGGTACAAAGAGAGTGTGTAGCACCGCAGTGTCATTGCAGTAAGGCAGTGCTCAAGATGCTGCTCCAGTTAAGACCTCGCTTTTACACCATGATTCAGGGAGTGTATCAGCGGTTTCCACCACTGAATAAAAAATAAATAAGGTAATTGTAACTTTTTATCTCACAATTCTGACTTTTTTCTCACAATTTTTCCAATTAGACTTTTTTCTCAGAACTGCGTGACGTTAACTCGCAATTTCGAGAAATAAAGTCACAATTCTGAGAAATAAAGTCAGGATTGCAAAAATGTAAACTCGC